ATAACGGGTAGACTAGTAATTCTGGACATGGTACTACTGCGTGTGTTAACGCTCGGTTCGTAGTTGTGATTTGAAATGATGTCCTTCTGCATTACATCTTGGTTTATGATGTTGCCAGGCGAAAAACACAGTGTCGATGTACCGCCATGCTTAAGGTTCGGCCATGTCTAGGAGGCAACGATCATTTCTTAAATTAGGAAGCAATCCGGTGGTGTTTGAAGCGTTTAGCACCTCACCTACGGTTATCCATTAACCGGCGCAGCATTTACGAGGTGTGTTGGGACGACGATGACCTGCACAGGTGCACACAAACGCCACATAAACGAGGTATTATAGAAACTACTGAGACAGTTGATTGAGCATTCAGAAAATCCTTGTCTCTAGAACAGGATTACATCTTGTTTACGGGTATCATTCTTGGCCAAGTACCGATTGTCGGTTTCTTATGCTGAGTACACATCATTATCGACGTTTCAGTTTTCGAAACGACGTACGCCTTCTTAGACGGGTACTCGATAATCGACCTGCCAAGCCATTAAACATGGCTCGACACTCATAAAAAAACTGTTGGCATTTTTTGCAAGCAGCGACTCTGTTGTTGTTTTTTGCCTCGTGATAACGACGGTGAGACTGGCCGTCTGGACGGTGTGCCGGGTTGTTTATTGCCAACTTACTTTACGGTTTGTAGTGTCTGGCCGTCAACGTTTAACCACGTGCTATGTATTATCGATTTGAAGCAGTCAATGCAAACTATAGCTGTCGCGTAGGTTTGTTATCATGCCCCCAGATGCAACGGTTATGGCTGTATGGAAGTTCAGCACCTACAGTGCACAGATGTATTTTGCGTAGGTAGACATCTTGGTTAAAACAATGCAACACTCTCAAAACCGTTCGTCGGGGTTTATGCTGTTTTTTTCCATAACACTGCTCGTTTTACTGTCATGGCCACATTTCGCCGGGTACTGAGGATAGCATATTTCTATATCAGCACTGTTATTCAGTTTCGGTTTGTGTCTGTGCAGATGTTTTCCGTGAAGCACAGTCGTTCGGTTTTGCCACTATGTGCTGAAAGTGCCATAATGTCACAGAACCGTGGTATGCTTAAGCGTTTCACTTCATTTTCTCAGTAAGTATGTTAAATATGGACAATCTTGGTGCGTCGCTCTTAAAGTAAGTTCCTCTGGGCAAAGGGCGGTGCAATATGCTGTAAAATCAGGTTTTGGATGAACTGTGTTGTTTAGCACACTGCAGTGAGGGCGTATTTGGTGTTTATGTTGATAGATAGCTACTCAGTTAAGGCGGATGGGCCATGTTTGCAAATCGTTATCAGCTCATACCGAGTAATACCTTGCTTGCATTGATAGTACTCGAGTACTCTGACGAGGCTTTCGGCCATGACCGACTCCTGAGTCCATGAGTTGGTGGTCGAGCCCGCCTTTGGCTGGGGGCTTCGAATATCTGACGAATTCTGCAGATGTCGGCTGTGGTACTCGCTTGAAGGAAAAGAGGGCAAATAGCGTCAAGCGAATAGTTCGAGCAACTACCATCCTGCCGTTGGTGGCCGTTCTACTTTGCTGACTCGTTTTAGCATTTGGCACCGGGTGAAATGCGACGTCAAATGAAACACCTCTTGCGAGGTGACACTTAAGAGCATAGCCATAAAACCGGCAATCTTATAGTTTCTTGAAGCATTGAACCTGTCAACCGTGAATCGCACTGAACTTTGAATGCCGAAAGAAGCCGATGCCGCTTTTGCCAGCTGTGCGGCGGTCGACGGCATCGCTGGCAGGTTTGTCGATCCAGACGCAGCTGTGCCGTAAAATATTGCCTGCATTCGCATGTAGGAGTTATCGGAAACGACGTGAGAGTTCAGCCGTTTTACTTCCTCATCGCGGCTTGAGTTCAGACCAATGTTTTCCGTGGGGCATCCGCAATGCCGCTAAGCACGCAGCACTTGCCGTCGTCGTGCCGACCTTCATTGGCTAGGTCTACACCAAGCGTATGACTGTGACAGTTCGGCGGCCGTGGAGGTGGAGGATGCGAAACAGTGTTCAATCCTACTGCCCTGACAACAGCACCGTCAAACCAACAGCAGTTTCCGCACTTGTACGTTAGCGAGAAAACGTTGTTGCTGTGTGTTGGGAGGAACAGGGGGGGCACTGACATAAGAGGCTAGACGAGGGCTGAAAGCTGAAAAACTGGCTGACCAGATCAACCGCTAGTGTTCGAAAGAGTGGTCGAGGCGATTGCAAGCGTTGGCGACTGCTTTGGCAGGGCATTTCTTTCATCAGTGCTATATCGACCCTCCTAGGATTTGCAAGCTGTGAACTTCTTGCTTGTCTGACCGTACGGCAAAATTTCAGAGCAGATTTCCATTTTCCTTTCGTACAGTTGTTTTTAATCATGCAACGCTTGTGGAAAAGTGTTGTGTGAGTTTTCACAGGCTGTAATTGTTTAATACTTGTGCGGAGTTGTGATCTTTGTCATCATTCTGAAACTTAATGAGACTTGTTCTGCTAGTTTACAGAAAATGCTAATTGACCCTCCCATTCAAGTATTCGTGTTCCTGTTAGCACATCAGAAAGAACCTTGTTATTTTTATAGGGCTATAGCAAATTAACCGCTAATGCGTTGATGACGATTTTCATGTATATTACAGACAATGTATGGCACTCGAGTCCAGAAACTGTATTATTATTATGAGTTGATTGACTGAGGTGATCTGTTAGGAAACTTCGTTCCGCAGCCGTCCAATGTTTAAGCACAGGCTTTAAGTGCCTATCTAAAATCGTTCTCATTGAAAAGCGTTGAGCTTCCCGGTGCCAGACGTTGTTTCCTCTTGATTTTTTGTATAAGTTTACTCATAAATCCGTCAGTTTGATCTAGTTTACATTGCGATATGTTAAAGTATGAAAAAATGCGTTCGTCTCTATGGAAACCATCGATTTCTGAAACAATTCTGAAATGACCTGCTACACGCGGAATAAACATTCGATCGTAATTGGCCTAGAAAAACTGCACAACGGAAATCCGCACTTTTCATGCTGTATTTTTTTCAAACGATTCGATATAGTCCTTGCAAGCCGCAAACGTAATTGGCTGAGAAAGCTGTCCGTAATATTGACTGGTTGGGCATGCATGGCTAGAGGAAACTTTCAGCCATTCACTGTAATGTCCATGTTTACTGATGACGCGTTGCAGAACAGAAACTGTATTATACATAAGCGATCAGACTTCAATCAATGGCTAGAAGTGAAAGGTAAATCAGAGGTCATTGCCAGCAGTCGACTTTTCGAAAAAGTGCCACGCTGTTCGTCATCATCACACGCACTGAGAGGAAAAAGAAACGTATTCCTTTTCATAACGCGAAAATCATTAGACCTGCACAAAACTCAATTCGTCGTGAAATATAC